GGGAGAATAGTGCGCAGAGAGAAAATGTCAGAAAATTTTTAGATGAATGTTGTTACTTTGCTTTCATAACGCATTTTCACATGGCCACCTAAAAACCTTTTGCATTCAAGGGCCCCCTGGAAGCAGCAGGTTTCGACGCGGGGCCTTCAAATTCGGCCGTTGCTGTCTCATTGGATTATTTTACACCACAGACTGCGGATTCAATATCTTATTTTCAACTTTGAAGCAATTTGTTTTTGCTGATGAAGTCTCAAAGTCAATGTTGTCCAATTCCGTACAGCTGACACATTATTATTATTATTATTTATTATTTCCGTTAACCATATGAAAACGTTACGGTTACTGCTTTAAATTCGTGCTTCATCAAATACGGTTATAAAGTCAGAAAAACTTTCAAACGAATTAGGAATAAAGGTCTCGGAAAAAAGCGAAAGCATCGTACTGGCTGGTAATCTAGCCTCAGTCGTTGTTCTGTCGATAAATCGTAAGCCCCACTTGTACTTTCCAGAAATGTTCGCTCACTTTTAGTAAAATCAGGGATCTCAGTGCCATTATGCAGCGAAATGAGTATGTTAATACAGGAATCCTTCTGTTACAAGAAAGCTGGTTGCATACTGAGGTGCAAAACAGGGGTAATTCAACTCCATGGTTATTTTCCCATCAGGTCTGACCGCCCCAGAAAGCCCCAGTTTCGTGATGGTTCCGGTATAACATGTTAATCAATGTCGGTGCAACTCAGCACCGTAATATTCATATACTCAACAATCTCTATAAGTTGTCATTTAATTGAATACAAACCGAAGTTGCTAAGTGACCTTCGATCAGTCATGGTTAGAAACGTATACATTGCTCCGGACACATCTGCATCTGAGTTGAAGCTTTTTGAGGACCAAGTTTCTTCAAAGCTACTGCTTAAATTAGCTTGTACACTCTCTAATGTTGCTGGCGACTTCAATAGGAAGGATACAACATTCTTGAAGACACTTGGCATGGTAGACCTAGTGACAGTTTCGACCAGAAAAGATGCCTAGTTGGACGCTGTGTTTACAAACAAACGACAGTTGTTTTTCATACTAAAACGGGCTTTTGTGAGCTGCTCAGACCATTGTATTTTAAAACTGTGTCCAGTCATATACCGCAGGTCTAACTTTTTAACGCTAACCAGATGTCCCTACAAGATCATCAAACGGCGGAATTGCTCCTTGGAAAATATCACGAGGCTCCAGACGATGTTTTGGTTAACTGATTTTTCGGTCTTCAACGACAAGTACATGTCGCTCGAATGTGACTATCTTACGGTCTACATCAAATATTGCTTTGACATGTGTTGCCCTGTTGAAACGATCTATCTAAGTGCAGATAGTTTTTCATCACCGCTACTAAAGCGAATTCGAAGGATGAAAGAATGGGCCTACCAGTGCAAGAACGCTACCCGTGTCAAAAGCCTAACCACGGCAATTAAATCCGAGATAAAAAGACTAAATCAATTATATATCGAAGCTGTTCTAAGCAACCATAACTGTCGCGATCTATGGGCGCTTCTGAGGCAGCTCTGTGGTAATAGGGTTTGCAGCCAGAGTGTTGAAGTGAAGGTGGATAAACTGAATTCGGAGTTTAGTTCCGCCTCATTAGGTTCACCTTCCATGCCCTCCTTCATTAGCTCGAATCCAGCTGCCTTCAAAGAACGAAGCAACGTTCACAAGGAATTCAAAAGATTAAAGGCAAACAAGGCTTGTCGTCCGGATGTTCTGTCACCATCAGCATTGAAGGAGTGTGCTGATTCTCTCACACAGCATTTAACAGATCTCCTTAACAAATGCCTTACTACGGATGTGATCCCGGACATTTAGAGAACGGCCAGTATCACTAAGGTACCAAAAACTGGATCTCAAAAGCATCGCTCAATTTTATGTACATCTGTGCTCTTAAAAGTATTCCGCGGATTTGCTCAGTCGCTTCTGGGGATAATACCTAACGGTTTGCGCATAGACCCAAACGCTCCACATTGGATGCAGTGGCATATCCTATTCATTCTATAGCCTGGGCATTAGATAAAAAATGTAAATCCGTACGGCTTCTCTGCCTGGATTAATCGAATGCTTTTAGAAGCCTGGATAGGTCAATGTTGATAAACCTGTTATCAGAAAATGGAGTTCAACCTGGTGTGTGTAGTCTGTTACGTGACTATATTACAGATCGTATTCACTTCACCAAGCTGAATAGTAAGAAACCCTCTGTCTTCCGTGCCGACTGTGGTGTTCTGCAGGAAGCGATCCTTTCACCTTTTGTATTTTCACTGTATGTTGAACATCTCCATATACAACCCACGTTTATAGGGTGTAAATATGCTGATGATGTGCTGGGATGTATAGCCCCACTAAGCAGGATTCCTCATCACTTCCAAATGGGTTGGAAGATCTGGTGGAATGGTCTTCATCCAGATCTCTTACGCTTAATGCTTCTAAATGCAGTGATGCAATAGTTTCTTTTCTCCGCGGCGATAAGTTGCAGTCCGTTATTGATTTCTCTCCCACCCTTACTGTGAATGACAATCCTATACCGAGCTCTTTTGCCGTCAAATATCGGCGTCCTTTCGTCCCAGAACCATTCCTGGTCCAAGTATGTCTGTAAACGTTTTTAAAAATCAGGAACCTTACTTTTTATGCCCCTTAGACTTAACGTGCTTTCAGAACCTCGTACTTGAACATTCAGGTTTGTGACCTCTTGCATTATTCCCCATTGGCTATACTGCTCTCCTGTCATTTCCCTCGACTGCTTCAAAAGACTATATCTTTTCGGTACGCTCTATAAAGCATATTTCTAAATGCAACGGCTTGTCTAGAGATACTTCAGTTGAGTTGATCATTTCTGTACACCTTGATGCCCGAAATGATTTTTCGTCTAAGTTATTAACTGAGTGATTTCATCCACTTCACAACGATCTTTTCAAAACGCTCTCTTCCTCTGCTATTCATTCGACATTCAGAATTTTATTCTCCCGCACGTCTTCGTGTGGTAATACTCTTTTGCCTTATCTCTCAAGTTGGCCCGTTGACACAGCAAAAAGCGCTAACATGTTACACGAGCGGTTGTTGGAGTAACAGTTTTGCTACTTCTCCCACTTTTCTCCCCAAGCATTTAACTTATCATCAAGGTATCCGCAGTGGCAGTGTAAATGCTGAACATGAACCCATTAGGGTTCAGAAAGCTCATTTTGACTTGAATTGATTGTCTACTGCTCCTGTCTCCTCCATTTCCTGAGCCCGACTGGTCCACCAGGCTTCCTTGTCAGCACACAGGCTCCGCTTTAGTTCGCCCCTAATAGTCTGTCTGGTCACATTGTGCTCAGGGCCGACTGGGAGTTTTCTTCTGGATTCCAACAGATTCACCGACTTCTCGGATATCCAGTGACTGATGCGGTGACGATTGATAGTGAGAAAAGCAGATGTTCCTGCGTCGTGCATGGTGGCCGACATCCTATTCCATTGAAGCACAGTGTCATTAGAACATGACAGCGAAAGTTCGATATGCAGTGCGACCTGATGGGGTTGCCTGACCGAGGGCTGAGACAATATGTCAGTTGACAATCGGAGGAGACGCTTGGTGTGCCTCCCGGTAAAGTTTATGGAGAAAGGACAGCGTACCAAAGCATGATCAGAGTCGACGTAGGTATTCCAATACGTGCGGCAATTCAGAACGTACCACACCGCATCTCATCGTATCGGAATACTGTTTTGCCTTTTCTCTCACGTTTGCTTGTTGGCCCAGCGAAAGTCACCAATACGCTGCGCGAGCGGTTGTGGTAGTAACAGTTGTGCATTCTCCATTTTTATTTCCATGCATGTCTATTGTTATTATCATCCAGCTGTCCGCACTGGTGGTGTAAAAGCTGAAAATGAACCCATTAAGGTGCATAAAGTCTATTTTGACTTAAATTATCTATGCCCCTCTGAAGGCTATATGGTTCCCGTTGAGAATGTCTGGGTTAGCCAACCGCAGAGCAGGCACTGACACTTCAGCCGAGCAAATGCGTTTTCTTGCCCAGGCTGAGTGCGCGTTGTCTATCCTATGGCGTTCACGATAGGCCGACAGCGCATGCACACGTTGCTCATTCCGCCACAAATCATGCGTTGTACAGTACAGCCTGCCAGGATGGCTCAGTACGGGACCAACAATGGGGATATTTTATTTCAGCTCCGGGTGTGGAATTTTCGGGACTTACATATCCTTCTATCATCATCACAGATCACCGCAGTTTGTGTTGAAGTAACAACTACTTGAAGTCGTGAGTGTAAACGTGGTTATGCGCGAAATTTGGCTCATACTCAGGATGTTTCATAAAAATCGAAGTAAGTTGTGCTGAAGAAAAAAATATATACTTGCTTAGTGTGCATTTGTCCTGCTTATGTTAAAGGATGTATGACCTGAGATAGAGTTTTGTAGTTATTAGCGATATTAGGGCATGTGGCGTATTTGCTAATTCTTGCCTGCCGTAACTATATAAATTGCTGCGATCGTAAATTTGTTGAGATACCACCACAATGGCGGATCACATCTAGGATGCCGAAGGTGGGGAGGTAATGGCCTAGTGGGCAGTTGATGATCAATCACCTGGCAGATAAAGCAAAACGATTGGCTGGGAGATGCTTTGGCTTTTTGGGTCATTAGTTCATTGGTCCCCCGTTTGATCCGACTATTTTGATGATTTATGCAGAAGATGGCGTTTTTGCATCATACGTAAAATATGTAACTGGAATAGGTGTTACTATCAAATTAACTATCTGTACCAAATTCAACATTGGAAATTTAGATAAATAACCAAAAAAAACTTTTTTCGAACCTCGGGTAATTAAATCCGGCAAGAACGGATAACAATTCGGAGTGAAGATCGATGCGGCTTGCTTGACAAACGGTAATGGCATTACGATGGCGCGTCTGTAAGCCGCGTTTGTTTTATGGTTGCGATAACAAGAAGTGCAAAAACGACACGCATCACTCACGTAATGGAGGTGCCAACTGTGGTTGCGTTTGGGATGCTTGACCAGCTCTACTACGCAATCAGGATCGTGAGATTTCTCCTCCGAAGTGCGAGCATGTGTGCCGTCCCCGGTCGGTATAACGTAGGAGAATGCACCGGTCAAACGACGCAGAAGCTTGCTCGTACGACTAAACAGAAGCTAGAATAGTGATAACAGGTGAAACATTGTCTTACGGCAGGCGGCTTTTGGTTAAATGAAATGGAAATGTTCCCGCAGTAGCGTTCTGAGGTTGAAGCTAGCTGGAATAAACCTGCTAATCCTATGAGAACATCTGAGCATTTCAGAACGATCACTATAGAATCATTGAGCAATCGTTGAGGTGGGCTGTGAAAAAGTGTGTGCAGTGCTTACCACATTTCGTTGCAGTTGTATGATGTTAAAAGGGGGTTAAAACTGTACGAGAGCTTACACCACAGTTGGTATCCGTAACACTTCTAACAGAATTCACATTATATGATGTACCAGTCTCTAGAACCACTAACAGCTGAGTAGGAATCAGAAGTTTCAGGGGCCAAAAATGTTTGGAATGAACCAGGTTTGGTATAAAAAAATATTAAGCCTGAGTACGTAATAAGGCGATAAGCAGTGAGAGAGTGGGTCACAGTGAAATAATAAGCAGGGTGAAAGATGAGAGACACGACATGAAGTGTGTTCAAGTGCGCCGAATGGCCAAGCGCAGATTACAGTAAGAGAAGATTGCCAAAAGTTACAAGTCCCATTTCCTCTACCAAAGTCCTGCATCAAAGCACACAACGATAATGTCTTAACTCACATTTGAGCAGTAACACTCGGGAAAATGAGCGAATGCTGTGATTAGGCAAAGAAAACCACTAAAAACCACGTCGCTTACTGGAGTAGGTCCCCCTTTCGTGCATCCACTCTATCAGTAATCAGAATGACGCAGACAATCTCTATCAAGCAAACACTAACTGGATAGTTAAGTTATTGTAATGTGATGCGTGTAATCATGCAGACAAGCCGAAACCTATGTCTAAAATTTGTAGCCAACAGTCTACTTCCCAAGCCAGCATCGTAAAGGAGCGGCGCCAGGAAAAGAGGCTCCCAACAGGTTTAGGCGCTTCCGCCTAGAGTCAGCGGTATAAATAGCTTGGTTAGAGTCCGTTCTGCACAGTGTATTGAAGAAGTTAGTTTATCAAATAAGCACTTCGATGGAAACCGAGACTACGATTCTGAATGATGTCACTATTCCGTAAATATCGAATACAGATTACGGTGAACCCTTCGGAAGGTGCCCAATCCGCCCAAGATGGAAGACTAAGTGCCACATGGGCGTGGACAATGGAGAGAGAGTTCTATATCAAACGATAAATTGGAAATGACGTGCGTCATTTGGAGCGGATGTGAGTACTTGTGACGGGAAGTAGCATGATAGCCGATCCCACATAGGGAGCGGATATTGAAAACCCCAATGCACATTGGCATGCCGGGTGTATAAAGCGCCTTGTCTTCCTTGTTAACGCGGCTGGTGAAGTCAGAGATGCATTCTTGATGGTCAAGGTGAGAACAGGCTGAAAAAGCGAAAAGAATACTGCCCATCAATTGCAATGAATGGTTTATGTCCGCTATCTCCTTTAACAGACGTAATAAACAGTGGGTGGCAGGTCCAACTCGGAAGAGTCTCTAGTGTACTCTTGGAGTCGTTCAAGGTCAGTACCCATTTGTGCATATCTAGGGGTACTATATGATGCACCTGCGATGTGGACCGACTGCAAGTTGCTTTTAGCGGGCTTCCCGGAAGTAGACCGACCAGTGGTGGGTTCGGCGGAGGTGTACGACACCGGACGCGTCCCCAGCTTGTAGATCATGGAAGGCTTTTCTTGTGAGACTAACTGTGAATAAGTAGCAATTATTCGCAGTTGAAATGAATGTGCAGTCACGAACAAGCATCTGCAGCGTCCTAGAGCGTGGAGGGTTCTGAGTAGGTGATCTGATTTCTCATTAAATACACGTAAGACGCTGTGTCAAAGCCAATGTGGCCGATTATAAGGTCATGGACCACTCACTTCTACAGCCGGCAGTGAGTATTCAATGGAGGGCGGATGAACAACTTTGACATCCATCGGTTTCTACGGAGGCGCAAGAGCCACCTGCTACCAGTGGCATCTACCACTGTCGTTTACGAACCTATATATGCACGACAGAGCGTCAGTGTTGAAGAACATATCCCATCGTGGGTCAGGAACCAACTTCCGAACCTAGCCCAGTCCCCCATCCCAGGTGCGCAAGCAGTCAGCCGTACAAGACGCCTGCGACATCAATCGCCCGCCACCTGCTGGCGAACAAACAAGTAGGACAAACAATGTGTTGATCCCACACGTGTACGTTCAGCGTGATCTATGATTTAAATAACACTCACGCGCTGCGATACATTGATGCAGCCGCGATCAAACAACTTGACCGCAGTTTGTGTGTGTGCGTGTGTGTGTGTGTGTGTGTGGTATCTTGGTGTGTTGTACTGGAAAACATAAGTCATATGACTGAAGTAGCGCTTACGTGAGATAAAGATGTGATGTTCGGCCGCGCAATTTCTTGGACAGGAGAAGTGGAGAGAGGAGGTAAAACTTGTTCAGCTGCGATTTCTTGACAGCAGTCTGCAAATCGTGAAAAAACATTGGCGACAAGAAAACTGTTAGGGTTAGAGACAACCTAACCAGAGTGAAATCTGGTTTTCGAAAAACCGGAGCAAAAACGGCGTCACGGAAGTGGCTTCGAAACGTGTTACTGGGCCACAAAAAGTGAATAAACCACATGGTCCGAGTGTAAAACTGTCGTCAGGTGGGTGTACACAGTGGGCAGGTTTCCACCAAAACCCACGAATCTTGTGTTTGTTTTGTGTAACAGAATATTGTTCTTATTACCTGGCCCACACAACGCACAACACTTGTGAAAAGCCCACCTGCTGTATACATGTTTCGACTATGATACACAGCAATTTTGTACTATTGGCAACTGCACTGTCTGGTTTTGTGTTCACCTTGCCGATACACACTACTAACCAGTATCCCGTGTTCTGAGGATACCACGGTATACCGACTAAGAGCTGATGGGAGCCCATCAGAATTTGTTCCTCCTTGTGAGACCATAACAAAAAGGTTGATACCGAGAAAAAGTGTTGAAACTCTTGGAAAGTAAGCAACAAGAAAATCGACAAGATAAAGTAGGTGTTGATCTATCGCGCCGTTTACAAAAATGAAAACATCTACGGATTCATAGTGTAAAGAATGAGCAATCAGTGATCAAAATAATGAAGCCCAAAACAGAAGAGACGGCACAGAAATTCAAATGAAGACAAATAGCCAAGTTCTACAGTACGGCTGGACAACAATTCAATCAAAAGCTGTTTAGCCCAAAAAAGGAGGATCGACAGCGTCTATAGTAGATGATGGAAATAGGCAAATTGACAAGCAAATGGAAGGGTAGTACACACTAGACGTAAGAACTTTTATGGGGGAGTATCTACAAGATAAGCCCTGCAAAGACTGAATTTGTTAGGATGATGAGAAAAACAGTCAGTAGCGGGTATATAGGTACGGCGAATACGATGCGTGCTGGACTACTTGTATAGCGACAACGTGGATAAACAAGTGTGCAACATGGATCCTACACTCACTTGCAGGAGACAATACTGTGGCGGCTGTGTCGAAGGCAGTGCCAGTGTCGAGTACGTTCACGGCTTCAAGTGCTTCTTGTCGAGGAAGCGGAGAGGAAGGTATTCGCGGAGTGCACTCATTTGAACTCGGCTCAAACGAAGGGACGAGAGGTGTCCGCGGGGGGGTCTTTACCAGTGTAGAGGGGGAGTCGAACAGTTGGGGTGGATTAGGAGAACCATGCAGTAGGCTGTCCGAAACAAAAGGTCGAATAGCACCTGCAAAACAGGCAGAAAAAGCATCTGCATTACGCTGTACCAACGCTTCGCTGCCACGCAAACACCACCAATCGTGCGTGGGCCAACGATACTGCGAGGGAGTGCAGCAGACAACAAGCAGTATACGCTGTCGTTCTCTAATCGGAGCTGCCTGTTTGAAGGCTGTATGGAGCCTGAGTAGCCGGAGAGTGAAGGCGATGATGGTGCCAGAAAGTAAAACCCACAAAGAGATTTTCTCCCTGATACCTCATGTGATTCACAGCTAGCTGTGATCGTGTGTTGTTGACAGTGTTCCAGTGCCATGACTAAAAGTTTGCTCAGACCATACACGATTTCCACTAAATTCCCATTCTCTCGTTAAGACGGTCGAGTATGACTGTGAGGCACAAGTACCAAAACTGATCCGATGGAATTTCTGGGTATGGAGTGAGGGAATAACGTGTGGAAGCTGACGAACGCATGAGACGGTAGGTAAAGCTAGCCACATTCGCATCTCTTGAGGGTGAAACACAACTACAAGCCCAGAGAGGTGAATGCAGAAAGTAGAGTGATGGAGGTATAAGAATGATTAATCCATACTCAAACCTAAAACGCCAACCAATGGCAGAATGCGTCGCGTAGCAAAAGACCTGGTGGACACAAAAGTAAATAAGTAAACAAAGAAATAGATGTTTTATTCTCCACAGTGCGAGACACGCTTGCATAGACATTACCATGGTGATATGACAAGGACTGGTAAATGTAAAAGATGCACAAGTTTATAAGTAACATAAGGATCCATATTATGAATGCACGCAGTTAAGGATGAGCGTGGTTTTGTTGCTTGAATTTGTAAATGTGACGCCTGATTTGTGATTGATTTCGTTCAGTCGTGAGAAGACGTGAAATGAAATCTTCCTACTGAATGACCCTTGTCCGCGGATTGAGTTAGATCATCCGGATACATAAAAGGCAGTGACATTAACTAGTGGCCAGCCACATCTGCCACATCACAGTGTTGTTAAGCGGACGTTTGTGGCTTTTTGTAAGGAGAAGGCTTGCCAGGCGAAAACCCAACACGTCCTAGAACAATGCCGCTGAACTAGTTGCTGGAACGGGGTAAACCCGAACGACCCAACTGGCACCACGGGGAGGTTATGCGTCTAGCGAGCGTAGTATAAAAATCGCCGGGGCAATGTTTGCGTGGAACGGTTAAAACGTATTGCGACACAGCAGTGTCCAGCATCCATCATTGTGTGGGCTCACATAGGCCGAAGAAAATGCGAAACAAGGTAGAGACTTGACGAACAGCAAGCAAATAATGGATGGCGATGAGGAAAGTACTCACATCCGTCTGACGAGTATGATCCAAAGCTTGAAGCTGACATTGGGGCAACAACGGCTACGCTTCGGCGTCCAGTATCTGGCGCGTACGAGAAAGGAGTAGGTGAACAGCCCCCAAGAGAACGATCTGCTATCATTTCTGAGAATGACCTATGAGTGACATCGGACAAGACTTCATCGGAGTTCACAGTAAAACGAGTGTCAGCTGTTGTTTCCACAGTACTGATTTGGTCAGAAGGAATAGAGGTTGGTATACTGCGATGTTCATCGACGGCGTTCTAAAATAGAATTGCAGTGATTTAAAAAGTGTGACGAAACTACCGTTAAAGTATGTAGTATTGAAGAGATGATAACACACACTAAGCAGCTCGAGCGAGCAGCCATGACAATAATTCGAACAGAGTTGAAATGCATGTCGTTGAATAAAGTGCGCGCATGAGCATGGGGGGACACACAAATTTAACGAGTCTAGGAAGCATGCAGACCATACATATGATCCAGCGAAAGATGTTAGTTGAGCTCAAGTTAGTGAATAAGTTACGAATGTTAAAGCAGTCTGGGTTCAGTTGACACACCTAAAAACACGTGAATAAACAAAATGCCCGTGGAAAATAGAGAGAAGAGCAAGACTAACTGGAGCAGGTATTGAGACATACGAAAAACGCCTTCCAGCAACTGATGTGGTCAATCTTGAGGGCATCATTCAGGACGATGACAAGAATAAACAAGATGCGGCCTATCGGTCAGTCTCACCCTAAATTCCATAAAATTAAAACCATGTACAAACCCGGGAGCAGTACTGATAATACCTGAGGTGATTCTCTCCTATGGCTAACATGCAAAAGGATGTTGATGATCACCGACAAATCACACTTTGATTATGCCACTCTATATTGGTGAGACCGTGTGTTGTGACGTCAGCAACAGCATATATATATATATATATATATATATATATATATATATATATATAAACACTAAATGCGGTACTAACCGTTGTTCTGTAGTGAACTTCAATTTTGACATTGAGGACAAAAAATATGTAGAAGGTGGTGAGAGATAGGAAGTAACCCAAGAGCCCCGGTTCGCAATCAGCTAAACGAAAAACTATCGGGTTTGCACAGCAATTCGACCGTGGTGTCGCACAAGTGTGCTAAAAAAAGACGGCGATACCCATAGCGCTTCTGGGGTTTTCATGAACAGCAGAACCTGATGAGACGGATGCCATCAAGATGAACAACTCCAGTACAGTTCAGTTGAACAACTATGATCCGGGCACCGAAGTGTGGTCGATCCACTTGCCGAGACTCGCGTCACCAGCATAATAATAAAGAAGAACGGTAGTGAGAGAAGGAGGTCGGACGTAAAACGGAAGAAGAAAGTGGTGAGAAAGAAATGCGTGAAACTAATCGCCATCGAATAAATAATAACAGCTTGGCCTATGAAATCGAATGCACTGGCTGCGTCATGCACACAGAGTCTCTAAACAATGATAAGGATCATCCCGAGGTTCACAGTCACGAAGACAACAAACAAGAGCTTGACCAAGTCATTCAGTCAGTTTCAGTATGCCTTTATGCTATTTTATTGATTAGTCACCTTGAGGCTTCACCCAAATGCATGCAACTATGGCACATAATGGAATCCAAGAAAGTCGGTCAAAGGGCATACACGAAAGGGGTTTCTGTTACACACCAACTCGCGGACCTCAGCATCACTAAACCGGCGTTCCTACGAAATGTAAATCAGCTACATTTCTAAATTATACAATTGCATTGGTCTTATCGTAGCTTTACACGAGCTAACTTTACCCTTCACAGACGAGGTGATATCCCGCCGTCTCCATTGATGATTGAGTCTCTAGAAATCCACATGAGCTTTGTTGATACGCGAAGTAACTTCCTCAGTGCTGTGACCACCAGAAGTGACAAAGCTACCAAGTGAAAAGATTCACCATTTCCTGTGTTTGTTTATTGACACCTAGAACCGGAGGTGTGTCCGCCCAGTCCCGCAACAGTATATTTCACTATAAAGCTACAAAGCATACGATGAACCAAACAACGTTAGGCCTCACTCTAGTTAGTGGTGCTTGCGAAGCCAATGCGTCATACATGAGATCTGTGTCGTCCGCATACTCATGGCTTGTTAATTGATCAACGGGCATAATTCAAACTCCAGTGAAGTCTGAAAGCACCTTGTCACGTAGTACCATTTTGATCATAAAGTTGAGGAGGAAAGGAAATGTGGGAAAACCCTGAGGAATCCCCACTTGTCATCGGTTAATCAAAAGAGAGGTTCCCATAAAAGCTTATTCCGCATCGAGGGTTACGGTGGGGAATCAAAAATAGAAAAGAGATTACCAAAGGAATCTCAGCATAAGCAGCGCCACCAGCTGGCACGTTCAACTAAGTCGAACTAGACGCTCATATCAGCGAACATCGTTATCATCGGTCGTTTAAAAGTGTCTGTTCTAAAAATTCATGACGAGTAAATGTGGTGGATACAGAGAAGGATACGGCATTCAAGAGAACTAGTCATCATCATTACACGTTAGCCCAAGATGAGAAATACTTAAGGATTTGTGCAGCAATAAAAAGATATGGCGTATGATAAATCCCAATAGAAAATCATCATCACTTGTAGCAAAATAGTTGGGCATGGAGCCAATGCTGTTACATGCCTTATTTGTCGTGTGAATTTCCACATCTCGTGTATTGGTTTGTCTTAAGCTCATCTTAAACTATTGCTTGAAATTCAGCATGACTTTTTCCAAATATTATGCAGGAAATTCCAAGCCAATGTGCAGTCACAAACAGCCGAGCCGAGAAGCCGGCGAGTCTACAAGCCGGGCGAAATATTCCATACGCAGAAGTTAAAAAGAGCGGATCGTAACCCACTTGAAAGAGAAATGCGAGCTAAAGACGTTGCCTTACTAGTCCCTTTAGCCTCAAAATCTAGAGAACTACCTATGACAACACATTTTAATTGACATCTGTGCCCCTGAAGTTGCTCGACGTCCACGTCGAATCTGCAAGAGACCACACCGCATAGGTTGCCTCTAACCTTGGTTCCCCATCTATGAATATAACTGTGAACGAAAATGTACTTAGGTACACCCCAGTCTGTTGACTTAACCACAACACCGATTACGCACGAAATTTCGAACGCAAGAACAAATTGCCCTACTCCCTACTAAATTGTATTAAACCTGCTCAAGAACTAGACACATCTTCCCCGGGTTAATACTCGAACTGCAAAAGTCGTAGCTCTAAATATACCTTCGTTATACGAAATGGCAAATATCTAACACACTGAAGTCACCTGTCCATAAAAGAGCAGATAGTCTCAGGGATAAGGCCTAAACCATCTTCAATGGATTGATCCAAGCTTGTGCTCCTTAACCTAACAGATGCATTGGATGTTAAGATGCTGTATACCCAGTGCAGACAGCTCATCCCATTCAACGAAATAGCCTTTAAATCACCAAAAAGAAGCTCTACGTCTAGCCCAAAATTTCCGGAAAGCTGTCGGATCACAGATAATCCAACTGAGAAGTGCAAACATCGGCAAAAGTTCTAGCGCCGAATTTTTTGGCCAACGTTGGAATTGGCATCCTTTTCTCTTGTCTCCCAGTCTGACATACCCAGAGAGCCATCGCCTTGTCAGCCAGTTTCTTAACCTAGCCCAATTACACATGTACAAGGACCTCAATGTTTTACAATTACAAAATTTCTGGATTAAAGACCAACATATTGTCCATGCTTCAACGGCGCCAGGCGGCTCTAAACGTGCCCTACATATACCCTTAGCTAATGGCCGACCTTTTATGGACAGATGGCACCAGTTATGCTTTTACGTTATCTCTGAGTGGCCAGACGAACAAGGACTCGCAGATACCTGGCTTTATTCTAACGTAATCAACCAGGAAGTCGAGCTCGGTTGCAGCTACAGCTTGCGCTGTGATGGACTAACAAATAACCGGAACGTGGCTTGCCCTACAACCGGGCGCTTTCTCGAGAGAAATAGACCACCTGTCTAAGTGACGATGGAAACAGCAGTGCACGGTCTACCTCAGGAGAGGGAAGCCACTAATGCGAAATGGACACCAAAGTATTGAACAAAAAGATGGCCAAAGAAAAGCAAGATGAAGGACAACATCTGTTACGTAAAACAAATATTCTACTCAACCGAGCGTGTGTACTAACTTACCAATGACAGTGTATGAACAGGAGATACGGAAAACACTCCAGGGAGAGGAACTGATGCGTTACTAAGTGGCAGCGTGGTGTTGTGAACGGTTTCAGGCTCACATGTAGGGCCGGTGACAGACAAGCTGCATTGGGACAAAATTGGAGAGAGAGAGATATTTTACATAACCTGTGGTACAGATATTGTGCCATCGGAATCATGGCTGAATACGAAAACAATATGAATAATAAGAAAAGGGAAACCACAACAAAACCTTTTTGTCCAGTTTACCACTGACAGTTTTGAAATTTTTTTAGTTTGTTCATTTTTAGAGGGAGGAAGAAGGGACATCGCAACACACCGATGCACACGTCTACCATTGACATCGATCGTGAACCATGGCTTCCAAGGTATTCAACCAGCAAGTATCCGCATCTCTCGGACCACAACCAGGTAGTCAATAACAACCCGCCGAGGCCAATTGTTTGGTCAGCTTTTTCATCTGGCGTCTCCATGTTGTAGGCTGCCGAGCCCTATTAAGCAACCGCAAACAACGCTGGACAGGTATGCGCAATACGTGTCCCAACCACCGCAGTTGATGCAGTAAGACGAGCTCCTCGAGCGAGTGGATTCCACGTCCCAAGACACGCTGTCTAATTTCCACATTGCTTACGTGGTGCCGCCATCACACACGGGCAATGGACCGCAGACAGCGGTACTCGAAGACGGATAGCCTGCGCAAGTCACCTTTACGAATGGGCCAGATCTCGCATCCGTACAACAGTATAGCACGAACGGTTGCACAACAGACCCGCCCTTTAATGGAGAGATGAATGTCGTGGCGACGCCACAAGTGCCTCAGGCTAGAAAAAGCGAGGCGTGCTCTCGACATGTGCATCGAAATCTCGTCTCCAACAGCCTCGCCAGTAGTGATGTAACTTTCCAAGTAGACAAAGCTCTCCACAACCTCTAGTGTCTCACCACGAAGAGTGAGCGCAGGCAGGTGCACCAGCCAGTCTTGAAAGAGAGCCTTGCATTTGGACAATGAAAAGTACATACCATGCTTTGATGCTTCAATCGCCAAGTGGTTTAGTGCAAGTTGGACGACGTGTGGATCGTCACCCAGCAAGATGATATCATCAGCATAATCCAAATCAACAACTCGAGTACCTGGGAGGAGCTCAACGCCAGCGTTCAACAAATCGTCTAGAGCGTTCTTCAGGACATCTTCAATGGCAAAGTGGAATAGGAACGGAGCGATAGGACATCCTTGTCGAACTCCACTGGAGACCACAAAGGTAGGCGAAAACTTGCCATAAGCCCTAACCCTGCCCGAGGTCAGACTATAGAGAACGCGCAGTATGGAGACGAACTTCTCCGAGACACCATTCCTCAGTAGACAGCGCCACAGTACCGTACGACCGACAGAATCGAAGGCTCCACGGACATCCAGCAACACAGCAGTCGTTGGCCTCTGATACACATGGCGGAGCTCGAGGACCTGGCGGAGTGTGAAGATTTGATCGATGCAGCCGTGACCAGGGCGAAACCCAGATTGTTCTTCTCGCTGCAACGCTTCGCGCGTTGGGGATAGCCTGCGAAGTATGATGGACACCAGAAATTTGCAAACGATGGGGACTAGGCTTATGCCTTTGTAGTTAGATCAGATTGTGTCCAGACTCTTTTTGAAGATGGGCACGACTATCGTCTCACCCCAAGGTGATGGAAGTTTCTCTTTCGACCAAAGTTTCAAAAACAAAGCGGTGAGTTCTCGTACCACCGAAGCGCCACCATCTTTAAATAGAGCTGGAGGAAGACCATCAGGGCCGGGGACCTTATTACGCTTCATGTATCGGAGCTCCTGCTCGAGTTCCTGGTAAGAAGAAGGATCTGTGGGGGTAGACCACTCGCCCCAAGCGCTAGCGCCAGAGGTAGTAAATGGAGCTGGGGGCCAACAAAACTGTGAGACAATAGGTTCGGCCCATCGCTCCAACCGTCGTTGAAGATTGGTGATTAAGGTGCCATCGTCTTCGCATATTGTTTCAATTATACCAGATAGAACACGATTGGAGAAAGTGGATATCGCACCTAATCAAATGCATGCAAAGGATGCGTGTGTGTGAACTGAAGATGCCGTAAGCGCTGGCTCAAACACGAAGCGAAGAGTAACGGCAGCGAAGTTAGAGAGGGCTGTGTGCACCTTCTAAATCTATTGATGACAATTAACGAGGTAGTAAAGGCCTTAGAGATTGGTGCGACAATGTAAACTTTGGGTAAAGGATGAAGAGGATACGAATGGTAAGGCTCTATGACGATGACTGTATTTCAAAAGCAGAGTTATTAAGGTGAGTACACTGTTTTGGTTGGACATAACAGACAAAAGGGGAAAAGGGCTCTGGAATCAATTTTGATAAATTATAAATGTGGCATAAGACAAAGAAACTGAGCGCTAGATAAATTGCAAAACGCGCTGAGAGCGAAGAATGTTTTAATTGTAGAATTCAGCCATCCCGTTCTGACAGGGATGGTGTGGTAACACGAAACTGTATGATCAAAAGATGCCTGAAAGCCAGTAGGTCAAAATCGGACCGAAACGACAATAAGAGTGGAACGCAGTGTTTGAATTCGTGTCGCTTCAAAATATGTTTCAAATAGATAAATGCCAAGATAGCTCCAACCGTACGCGACGAGGGCTATACACTTAGTCGTGCAAAGGATTATAGGTAGTATCACAAATGACAGAAGCAAGTAACCTACTGGGGCAGTTAGCTGGTCAATAGTCCCCAATGAAGATGGCTGGTCAAAAGGTGCGTATCAGTGATAGTGGATGTTAGTTGTCACAGAACCTGAAGGAAGGCCCAAATATCGGACGCAAAACACCTACTAACTTACCTAAGATAGCAAAGTTGGAAACGTAAAACTTGGCGCAGTATGCACAAATTTTAAATGTTCTAACCGGTCGTTTTCATTACGGATTCAATGGAAGTATGAGAAAACACACCTACCGGGCACTGAAATTGCGTAGTAGAAAGGATCATAGCTTAGATAAAAGTTAACATTCACGGTATCCACAATGAGGATCATTTTCTCCAACTAATGATCGGCCGCCATATTAGTAGCACAAACACCCCAGTTGGTACACACCGAATGAAACTGTGCTCTTTAACCAAATAGACCACAATGGGACATGTGAATATCAGGGCACCGGTCGATGCGGTGCACGTGCCCAGATTCCGGTCAAGCATTAATGCAATAGGATATTACTCACTCTCCAACTCGGAAACCTTTTGCTCGCCATCTGATCCAATAACCCAAGAAATCTCGTCATCGCTCCAGGCAGATACATCAGCTACCACCACTAATGAGCAAACCGAACGAGTCGAATGCCGACTGCTAGTGGGCGTCAAGATTGTCACAAGCACATTTGTAGATTGCACTGGTACCTCACTACTATATAACCGTAAGCGACTGCAGTGGATACTGACGCGGAGCGTAGAACATGGTAAAAGTGAAGATATTGCAAGTCGGCCACCTGAACCCCTGCGGCACCGAATCCCTTCCAGTTTCCGATTAAGGTGTTGGTGACCGCTTGGTGGCTCAGTAAGTGGTGTCCAAATGATGAATATTACTAGGACCGATGAATCTGCTTCAAACGGAGTAAGTGGTTCCATCCGCAAGACTCCAGATGTATGTCTGATTTGCAGCCTCAAGAGTAAACGAAAGTGTGTGTACAACAAGGGCAAGTAAAGCAGCTGAAGCCCGAAAAATCGGGTGCGGAGGAGTACTGTTTCCATTTACTCGTGAAACCAGTAAGTGGTGCGATAGTGAAAGGAAGCAGATGCTAAATCCATTCTCAGACTAAGGGGCTTGAAATCTAGGCTGATCACTTTGAATGCATTTAGTTTGGTCATCTGCAATGCCCCCATGGTTTCGTGAATCCGGTGGACACGCCTTTCATATATTAAAAGACCCTATCTAGACCGGTGTTGCTAAACGTAATGAAGACTACTGGACCCAATGACAGATTTCAGAGGTTGGTGGACGTCAGAGATGACCCACGAGTTCTTCGCTTAGTGGCTGTATTCAGTACAACTTGGGTAATGAGAGTTCGTCAATGTAACTTGGTTAGCAGTCTTCATCCACATGATAAAAAAATACCGTTATGTGAAAATCACGGACATATTGGCCTAGCACTCGCAAGCAATCGGCGCGCTAATCATTGTGACCAGCAGATTTGTTTTCGATCACTTATTCGATCTCGGAGTGACAGTTGCCTGGAGCACGCAGAACATGTTCGACTTAATTAGAAGTGTCCATGAAAGCAAAGTGCAAATCATCCTCACCAACAGCAGCACATCAGCCAGTTGAAATGATGCTTCGCTGCCGTACAACCACAGTGACCCAAAAAAGGAAAGACAAAATGAGAGAGAGAGAAGGGGGACTTACGGTAAAACTTTAATGCCTTAAAAACACTCAGGGTCAATGTGCCTACACCCTGTGTAGACAACATACCGTCACAAACAGCTGGCTATCGTGCAAAGATAAAGCGGCATCGGCGAGACACCTTCCTTGCGGCTTTCACTGCCACGCGTCATAATCAGCCATTACCCTGCAGATAACTCAGCACCAAACACACTTTAAACAGGCAAACCGATTAGGAGACGGCAGCAGACGCGCAACTGGTGTCTACTGCGAGCCATGTACTGTAAAGTCTCGAGCAAAGCACAGGGCGAGTCACGTGGACTCCAGTCTGGAAGGTGAAACGGACCGACGGCACCCAGTTTGGAAGTCAGTGACTTCATTTCCTGCTGCCAAGTTAATTTGTGCCTACCTCGGGCGTTGCGCAACTTTACATCTGGAAAATAAAACAGGGGCTTCCTCGGTAAGTGGTGACCGGGCATACGTAGTACGTGCCAAAGTCAACGTAACTTATTTAGTGTTGTTGTTGTTCTGCCGGGCGGTGACCGAGTGGTATGCGTGTCTGGTTTGCAACCATAAGGTCACCGGTTCGAATCCGCGTAGGGGCGGGCGTCCTCGCGGTATACTTAGCCCACGCGCGACTGGTGGAGGTCGCGTGGCAGCGAAGTGCCGTTACGGCGTAAGGCTGGCGATTATATATTATATATATGTTGCTCTAAGGAAGTA